GTCCAGTTAGCTGGAAGATCATTTCCTGATATTTCACTCAAAGAGGTGGGAATGCAGAGGAAAGAGTTTCCAGCAGGACATAGTAATAAACTCATGCCGTTCTGGGAAATAGCAATGATAGCTATGGGGTCAAAAGGAGCAGAGAAGAGTGGAGGAGAAAGAAGGGCAAGGGAGTTATGAGGGACAGTTGGGAATTGGAGACTTGGGTATGGTTGAGGATAAAGATGACAAAATTAAGTAAAGTATGGCAGTAAAAAGAAACCTATTATATTCGATCTTATGGGTCTATACTACTTTTTCTTGTTGAGGTGGATAGTTGAAAAAATATGGGGTAGGATCTGGACAGACAGAATGCTGATATGTTGGGATGTGTGTGTTCATGTGTATCTGAGTATAGTGAATGTTATATAGAAGCACTGATAGGAAGTGGGACCGGAAATAGCGGGATGCTTGTATTTCTAGCATCTAACATATTTCCTGGCTGCTCAGTAAACATTTGTTGAATGCATGCATGAATAAGCCTGCAGAGCTTTCTGAAAAGAAACTATAATTACAAGTTTAAAAAGTAATTTGACAAAAATAAAAATGAAAAAGCAAACTTCATCTCTTATCTAAGCAAGATTCTTTAATAAAAATGTAAAAATACTAAGCAGCAAGGGATATCTGGGTAGAAACCAGAATCTTAACCTCTATAGGAATGCATTGTACCAACAATCTTATTCCTCATTCTTTGGAATTAACTCTTAATTTGACTTCGTACCTCAATCATTTTTCAAATCCCTTTCTTTCACAACTATCCTCCTACCCCTATACCTCCTCTTTCCTCTTCACCTTTCTCCTCTCTACTTTCTCTCTTCCCAACTCTCCACTTCTCCCACTTTTCTTTTTCTTTTTCTTTTTTTTTCTTTTTTTTTTTAAATTGAGATTTCTTTCTTTCTTTTTTAATATATTTTATTGTACAGAGAGGAAGGGAGAGAGAGAGTTAGAAACATCGATGAGAGAGAGTCATCGATTAGCTGCCTCTTGCACACTCCCTACTGGGGAGGTGCCCGCAACCAAGGTACATGCCCTTGACCAGAATCGAACCCGGGACCCTTCAGTCCCCAAGCCGACGCTCTATCCATTGAGCCAAACCGGTCTTGGCTCTTTTTTTTTCTTCTTTAATGGAGCAACACACTTGGCTCCACTTCTCCCACTTTTCATCTTCATCCCTTCCCTTCCCTTTCTTTCTCTGTACCAGCTGTATCATGGTCCTTGATAGAAAGAGGGAGAGTGGGCAGAAAAAGTGATGATTTGGAGAAGGGGTAAAGGGAAACCAACAACAGGGAGACAGGGAATTTCCCTAAAGCTCCAGGGAAGGTGGGGGAGAGTGGGCAGGTGGGAGGTAATCAACCAAGGACCTTGCATGGACCATAGACACAGACAATGGGGTGAGGAGGGACTGAGGTGGGGGGGGGGCGGGCTGAGGGGGGTCAATGGGGGGAAAAGGGGACAAATGGAATACTTTCAACAATAAGGAATTATTTTAAAAAATAAAACAGCAGTTCAAGAACACAATACGGCTGGTGACGCCTGGTGAGGAGGGTGGGGTTTATGTTTGAAAGCTGCCTTTACATAAGAAGCACATATTAATTACATTAAGTGCCTTTTGGGGATGAGATGACTGATGAAGATTAGATTAGTCCACCCACTCCCTACTCCTTTGGAACTGCCACTGTCGGAAAATCACTTAGGAGGCTATAGCAATTACCCAGCCAGGTATTATAACAGCTGGAACAAGAACGACATCAGTAAGAATTGGAAATAGACAAATTGTAGAAAAGGACTAATGAGAAATTTAGAAGTCTCAGCACATACCACTGTCCAAACCCCTGCAGTAAGAGGCTTGCCATACCCCTAGAATTACCCCAGTTCTGCACTGACCCCAGCTTTTCATTAGAATGTTTGTGTGTGTGTGCCCTGGCCGCTGTGGCTCAATGGTTAGAGCATTAGCCTGTGCACTGAAGCATCTAGGGTTAGATTCCTGGTCAAGGGCACATTTCCAGGTTACAGGTTCAATCCCTAGTCCCCTGTTGGGGAGCATGCGGCAGATGGAAGTGTTTCACATCTCTCTCTTCGCTCTCTCTCTCCCCCCCCCTCTCTCTTTCCCTCCCTCCCTCCCTTCCTCCCTCCATCCCTCCCTTCCTTTTTCCCTCTCCCTCTCCCTCTCCCTCTCCCTCTCCCTCTCCCTCTCCCTACCTCCCATCCACTCTGTCTTAAAAAAAAATCTATGGAAAAAATATCCTTGGGTGAGGGTTAACCGGGAAAAAAAGAAAAAAAAAAGAATCAAAAGAAGCTTGTCTGAAAAGAAACCTTGTATGCAAGGAGAATTACAGTATGTTCTAGTCTAATGGTAGGTCCCTGACCTACTTTTCTCAAAACATTTGATAAAAAGGGATTACATTTTTTATCAAATGTTCTTACAGCTCAGAAGTGTCTTTCTCAAGGTCCTGAGAGTCATTCCCTTGAAATGTAATCATCAGGAAGGTTAGGGTCTTTGTCTTCCTGTATCTGTGGGAAGATAGACTCCTCATTTTGATAACTGCCAGCTAGCAGATACAGCTGGTTTAATCCGCATTGACACAGACCAATCTTTTGTAATTTTTCATTTCTCTGTCTCTACTGATCCCTGCCCCCCCCCCCAGGTTCCCCCGTCCCTGTAAAATGTCCAAACTGGAACGAAGCTCAGCTTCTCCCCTATTGACAATAGTTATTGAATAAAATTCGTCTTCACTGCTTTACCTTATTGACACTAATCGTCATTTCATCTCACTGTCTTGTATGGAGGGCCATAAATCTAAAGTGACTTCCTGGTTTGGACTTAGGGTCTTTCAGAGAAAAAAACAGGAGCTGGTTTGGAGGCAGCTGGTGGGGAGAAGGAAGGTGATTAGTGAGTGACAGGGCTAAGGAATCATGTGATCAGAATAGAATACATTTTTCTTGAGGCATTGTAGTTGTGGTGAGAAGGGATTGTATAGGATGGCAAATGGGGAAGTCTGGGAGCAGAAAATGCCATGTTCCTATGCAGTCTCCCGTCTCTTCCCTCCCTTCATTCTTCCCTTCATTTTCTTTCTTTTTTAATTTATATTTTTAATTTATTTTTGTTGATTTCAGAGAGGGAGAGGGAGAGAGATAGAAACATCCATGATGAGAGAGAATTGTTGATTGGCTGCCTCTTTCACGCCCCCTACTAGGGATGGAGCCCACAACCTGGGCATGTGCCTTTGGTCAAAATCGAACCCAGGACCTTTCAATCCCCAGGCCGACCTTCTATCTACTGAGCCAAACCAGCTAGGGCTCATTTCCTTTCTTAACAAGTAACATATACATGTGGTTTAAAAGTATGTGTATAATTTCATTATGTATACATTTATAGAAATATATTTAATACATACATTTATATATACTAAATATACAAAAGGGCTTAAGATGAAAAGCAAAAGGCCCTTAATTTCCTATCCCCTCCCCCTTTGAACTCGTTTGGCCATTTTTTTTCCTGGTGGTCTCATCATCTAAACATACTAAGTATATATTATACCTGTCAGCAATCCCTCAGGATCAATTTTGGGCTTTATCTTTTGACGTTTACTATGGTCTATGAGAATGTATTCCCCTTCCCGTTTTAAACAAGTGAGAGACAGGTGTGTGTCCTAGAATCCCCGATGAACCACTGGTCCCAACAATAACTTTCCTTGAGCGCTATGTGGCAGACACAGTGGCCATCCGCTCAGATGCTATTAACTCATTTCATGACAAGCTCCGTTATAGGGACTGATAATTTACAAAGGGAAGATTACAGCCCTAGCCGGTTTGGCTCAGTGGATAGAGTGTCGACCTGGGGACTGGAGGGTCCCAGGTTCGATTCTGGTCAAGGGCATGCACCTTGGTTGCGGGCACATCCCCAGTGGGGTGTGTCCAAGAGGCAGTTGCTGGATGTTCCTAGCTCTCTATTCCTTCTCCCTTCCTCTCTGTAGAAAAATCAATAGAATATATTTTTTTAAAGAAAAGGAAGATAGAAATTTCCAAAACAGACAGGTAAAGACAATGCCTTCCCCACCAAAAATGTGAAGGGAGAAAGAGCAGTTAGAGAGGGAAAAAAAAAGCAAAAAGCAAAAAAAAAAAAAAAAAAAGCTAGCTTTGTGGCACAGAAATCACAAGGTCCCCTTTAACTCATCGCGCAGGCGGGTGGGACCCCGGGTAGCCCCCCAGGGGAGCGCCCGCCGCCGGGCGGGGCCCCACCGGAGCGGGGGCCACGTGACGGCGCTGGGGGGGGGGGGGAGGCGGTGGGCACTCTGCCCTCCTCCGCGCAGTCTCTATGGTATCCTCCTCTGCCCCCGCGCCTTGGGCAGCGGCGGTCACGTGACGGGCCCCGGGTTTACGGCAGGTGCCCACGTGACCCCGCCCGCAGTCGTGTGGCTGCAGCGAAGCACCTGGGCTCCTGAAGGGCGGGCGGTTGGGTCGTAAACGTCGCCAGCGCCGGCGGCGGACTCGCGGGCTTGGGCGGGCTCGGGCACCACGAGCCCCGCTGCGATCGCCGCTCAGTGCCTGCGCCGCTCCGCTCCTCCTGCCGCCTCCGCCTCCGCCATCCCCACCTCCCTGCGGGTGAAGTCACCTTTGGGTCTCCGAGACCTTGGGGCGTGAGGCCCCAACTCAAGACCCCCCTCCCCATCCTCGCCTCCCCCCCTCTTTCCCGCTCCCCCGCTCCTCCTCCATCTCTTCCTCTGCATCACCGCATCCCTTAGCCTCGGAGCCGGCCGGCCGGGCTGTGCCTCGGGGCCAAGTTTGAGGTGGTAAAAGGTAAAGGGGGACAGCAGCCCCCCCAGTGGACAAAGGCGAAGGCAAGATCGGAGCGGGCCTAGGGGCTGCAGGCGCTGAGGACAGGCGGCTAAGGGGGTGGCCGAGTAGTGGGGGCAGCAAGCGTACTGCGGCTGTAGGAGGGACCGCAAAGGACTTGTTGCACGATGGAAGAATCGGACTCCGAGAAAAAGATGGAGAAGGAGAATCTGGGGCCAAGAGTGGAGCCTCCCATAGGGGAGCCGGAAGGATCGCTTGGGTGGGTGAAGGGTATTCTGCCAAACCTGGAAATGGGGGTGTGAGTGGGGGGTGAGGGGCTTTGGACCGAAGAGAGTATTGCAAATTAGAGCGATCGTTTGCTTCTGTTTACCAGGAGGGTTGATCAGTATCATGCTTTTGGGGACTGGGTGAACTGGAAAGAGGGCTGGTTGGGAACTGGGCCGAAAAATCCCTCGGGAGGGGAAGGGACAGGCCAGATACCAGCCCTGGAAGGTGTGTTCTAAATGAGGTGACGGTTCTCAATTGTTTTGGATGATTAATAAAAGGAGATTGGGCATCACCATGTTGAGGATGAGAAGACTTACAAGGAGGGTGGGTATTGCCTGGGCAGAGATCATGGACTTGAGAGTGCTTTCTGTGCCAATTTGTATCTGCAATCGAGTCTTGTATTTTATATCCTTTGTGCCTGCAGTGAGCGAAATAGGACTTGGAAGGACAGCCGAAGGGTTAAAGATGCTCCCACATTTTTAAAATCGGAGGCTAGCTTTTAAAAACAAACAGAGGACATTTAAATCCGGCAACATTGTTAGCTTTGTTAAAGCACTTGTGTATGTTGCTTTGCTTAAAAAAAATAAAAATGAAGGTTATGGAAAGTGACATCTTGCATTTTAATGGCTCATTTATATTCCTTAATAAATATAACTAGGAGCTATCTCCTGAGCATGTAATTAGGGGCCAGGTTAGCATAAAGCCAGTTGTATAATTTAGGCAAATGAGGGCCTTTACGCCACTGAGGAGCCACGCACAGCCGTGCTCAGCTGTTGTTCGAAACGCACTCTTTTGCATCTCGGTATTGATTTGTGTTTCTTTAAGCCCAATTTCGGAGGCAACTGGATCATGGAAACTCTGTCTTATGGTTTATATCTGCAGGTGGGCGCTGCCAAATACAGCCTTGAAGAAAAAGGTAAGATGCATTAAGTACATCAAAAACATGACGGGGAAGGTAAGAAGTTACTCTTCAGAAAATGTGTAACCATGTTCTCCCAGTCTTTACTTCTTGATTTAATGTTTCTGAGACATGTATCTATCTGGGTCATTCACATTACCGTTTTGTAACTTCTCAAAGCCCATAGGATAAAATCCAAGGGATTTCATGGCATAGAATGCTCTTTAAAAACTTGATTCCTGACTAAACATTCTGCCACACCTAATCGCCTTAGCATAGCCATACAGAATTTGTTTTTCTCCAGATGTACAAATTAATTTGCATTTTCTGCAAGCCATTCACAAGCCTGCACATTTTTGTTGAACCCAACCCAAATGTTACCATTATAGGGTCTTTTTAAAAAAAGACATTTTTATTGATTTCAGAGAGAAAGGGAGAGAAATATCAACGATGAGAGAGAATTATTGACTGGCTGCCTCCTGCACCTCCCCTACTGAGGATGGAGCCCTCAACCTGGGCATGGGCCCTGACTGGGAATCGAACCATGACCGCTTGGTTCGTAAGTCGACACTCAACCACTGAACCACACCGGCTGGACCACTATAGGATGTTAATATGAGTGCTCCAGGTGGAATTGAAGGCTTTTTCCCTTGTGCCCTATGGTACCCAACTTGCCCTTTAGGCAGAATTCATAAGAGCATAACTCTGGAGCAAGGGTTTGGACCTCTGGGGCATTTATGTTCTTCATTTGTAAAATGGTGATGATATTACCTATCTCATAGGCTAGTTAGGAAGTTTAAATAAGCAAATACATGCCAAGCACTTCGATCAGCACCTAACACAGTCTTTCCTAAACAATTAAAGCAAGATTTCTTAAATTAAAAAAAAACAAAAAACCTTTGAGACAGCACGGAGGGGCCTGGAGCGTATCACGCTAAGTGAAATAAGTCAGTCAGAGAAAGACAAGTGTCATGTGATCTCACTCATATTGGGAATCTAAGTAACAAACTGATGAATGGAGTGGATCCAGGGACATGGAAGCATGGAACAGTGTGGAATCTCGGAAGGAAGGGGGGGCGGGAAGTAACCAGCCAAGAACCTTGTACGCATATATGCATGGCCCATGGCCACAGACAGTGGGGTGGTGAGGGCCTGGGGGGGTGGGTAGAGGCAGGCTGGAGGGAGTCAATGGGGGGAAAAAAGGGACATATGTAATACTTTTAACAGTAAAGAATCATTTTTTTAAAGAAATATATTTAAGCCTAACTTCATTTAATAATTATTATATAAAAACTCCACTTCGCTAAGGGGATGTTCTTGATGAGCCTGTCTAAAGTAATTAATAAGACTGTGTGCATGAATAAGAAAAACAAAACGTTTTTTATAATAACTTTATACTGGCTCGTGAGTAACATTTCCTTAGGCTAGTGGTCGGCAAATTCATTTGAGAAACATGAATGTTGAGCATCTGTTATATGTTAGACGCTGAAGCTACCAAGGGGATTCTCTGTCATGACAAACCAAAGAATGGGCTAACTGCAATGCATTGTGGTCTTTGTAGTGCTATAAGAGTGTCATGGAAGGGCAGAGGTGAGAATTACCTAAGCCAGCCTAGGGGATTGCTGTCAGAGCGGCTCTTTGTTGTTAATCCTCACCCGAGGATAGTTTTTATTTTCAGAGCCAGTGGAAGGGAAGGGAGTGAGGAAGTAGGGGAGAGAAAGAGAAACATTGATTGGTTGCCACACACAAACACACACACACCAGGGCTGGGGATTGAACTTTCAACCCAGGTACATGCCCTTGACTGGGAATCAAACCTGCGACCCTTTGGTATGCAGACTGGTGCTCTAATCACTGAGCAACACCAGCCAGGGCCAGATAAGCTTTTTGAGGAGAAGGTCACTGAACTGAATTTTGAAGAATGGGTGGAGCTTAGCTGGAGAAAGAAAAGGGAATGGAAAGCTACTGGCAGAGAGTCCGAGGTGAAACAAAGACAGAGTGCACAGGCCCTGGAGATCTGGGAGCAGGGAAAGGAACTACAAGCAGTTCAGTTCAGTGTGGCTGGACAATGAAGTTCCAGGCAGGGACGGTCAGAAGATGAGGGCAGAGGAATAAACAAGCCAGATCAAGGGGGCTGTAATATGTATTTTAAGAACTTGATCTCGGAGGCCAGTGGTCGGCAAACCGCGGCTCGAGAGCCACATGCGGCTCTTTGGCCCCTTGACTGTGGCTGGGCGTTAGAACCACTTCTTCAAAATAGACTCGCCCAGGCCAAAAACCGGCTTCTGCGCATGGGCCACGAAGTTTCAATCGCACGTGGTATTTTGTGGAAGAGCCACACTCAAGGGGCCAAAGAGCCGCATATAGTTAGCGAGACACGGTTTGCCGACCACTGTTGTAGGCCAAGGACACTTGAGGGGGGGAAAAAAAAAAAAAAAAGAAGCAGAGCAAAATCATGGAGGTCAGTAGATAGGATGAGATGGGTAGCAGGGATGGAAAGGTTGACCTTGAGCAGGAGGAAAAACTTGGGTTATATGGAAATCTGTCCTATTCAGTGCACAAAACATTAGATCCTGCGAGATCAGGGTTCAGTTTCCATTCAAGTTGCTATGTCAATAACATCGCTTTTAATAATATATATATATATATTTTAATGATTTGAGAGAGGAAGGGAGAGAGAGAGAGAGAGAGAGAGAGAAACATCAATGATGAGAAAATCACTGATCGATGCCTCCTGCACGCCCCACACTGGGGATCGAGCCCACAACCCAGGCATGTGCCCTGACCGGGATGCTTAACCACTGAGCCATGCTGGCTGGGCATTAACATGGTTTTGAATATATGAATATATGACGTATACTAATAGCATAATAAACTCACTGCAGTTCTCTTGCCAAGAGGATGTGTGACTCATGACAGCTAAGCATCGGGGCCCTGGAATTCTGGGTATTGTGGTTGAGGAATGAGTTGCCATTATCCGTAGCAGGTTGTTGGTACTGTTACTTCTGGAAAACATCAAGTACAGGAGAGAGAGAGAGAGATCCCTGGAGACTCGATTTGCTTTAGCTTGCTAACTTCTTTTCATTCTTTCTCCCCCCCCCCCCAACCCCACTTTGTCCTCAGGTGCTATTGATGGGTAAAAGCGGGTCTGGTAAGACCAGCATGAGATCTATTATCTTTGCAAATTATATTGCCAGAGACACGCGTCGCCTTGGTGCAACAAGTAAGATGTTTTATCTTAATTGTCAAGTCAGGTGATCTGAACTGTTGATGATCCGCATAACACACTTGGTTGCAGTCACTCGGCCATGCAGAGGTTGAAAGATTGGTTTTGCAGCATGTTCTCCCCGTTGCATTTCTTTGCAGAGGTGTTTGGCCTGATTCTGGCTACTACTGCTTGCGCTCTTGGGTGGTTCTCTTCTAGGTTGCTTACCCAGTGGAATGCCCGTGTGTAACTTCTGTTACCCCGCTTTTTCTTAAACAAGCATAGGGATCTTTTTGTTTGTTTGTTTGTGTGTTTTTTGTTTTGGTTTTTTTTGGGGGGGGGGGCAGGTGTTTGTTTTTGAACTGTCATTATGTAAAAGGAAATTCATTGATAGGTATTAACAGGCATAACAATGAAATCGCCAACGATTTTTTTTTTAAGCAGCTGCTAGTCGTAGGCTTTGTTAAAAGGTAAATTGCTGGGGTGTGGGGGAGTGGGGGGGCAGGGGTTATGAGAGAGAGGTTAACCTAATCTGTGCTCTGCTGTTTCTCTTCCTGGATACACACGGATGTTCTCACCGGAGCTCTGGCTTCGACTTGAGAAACGTTTCATTGCCCTTGATGGCTTGAATGTTCAATCTGGCTCCTTCACATAGGCTCGCTCACTGGGCCGCCAGCGGATCCACGCTCCTGAGACATCCCTCTGTCTCTAGGCCGTGACGCCATTTCATTTTGCAGCATCCAACCACTTCCGGATCCTGTCATGGTCCTTGGCCTCACGAAGCCTTTGCCCCTCATCTGGCTTTTTAAAGATTTCCTGATGTGGGTTTCTGGCATCCTGAACATTTTCAGGGACAAGTCTCCTGCCACTTCATAAGGCATCTCGCTGTGGTTTTGAGAACAAACCTTTCAAAAACACCGTATGTCCCTCCCAGGTGCTAGGATACAGAGGAGAAGGGAACCTCATCTCTGGGCGAGCAGCTCTTAATTGGAGCAGCTCTGATGGCTAGAAAGCCATTTCTTAGTTACAGCTCCGAGTTTATTCCCCTTTATTTCTATTCCGCTCTCCTGAGTCTCTACAAATATTTGTGTATGATAAATGTCTCAATCAGCCCTAGCCATCTCTTACCTCCCCGGTCTTATCTTCCTGAGGTCAAACATCTCCACTTCCTCCACCTGTGCCTCACTTGACATCATTCTGAAGGATTTTGAAGGACTTGTTTGAACATATCTACATTTTTCTTAAAGTGCTAAGACTCAAATGTCGATGTGGCCCGATTAGGGCCGAAAAAATGGTCACACGTCATGTTCTGGGCAGCACCGTCTGGCTCTTTTTTTTTTGTGGAGTGACTTCCAGGATGTTGAGTCCTCTAAAAACACCCAGTTTCTTTTCACATATACCGTGTTTCCCCGAAAATAAGACATCCTCCGAAAATAAGACCTAGTGCATGGAAAGATAAGACATCCCCTGAAAATAAGACCTAGCGCAACTTTGGGAGAAAAAATTAATATAAGATACTGTCTTATTTTCGGGAAAACAGGGTATTATCATCGAAACACGTATTCTGATTCTCGTGCAGTTCATATTTTGAACCTTAGAATACATGCTTACCTCTATTTGTTCGTTTTAACCCATGACTTGTGCCTGAACCCAGCGTTCGTTCACTGTGAAGTCCAGCACAAAAGTCGCTCTCTTCCTGGGCCTCAGTTTCCTTATCAGTAGGAAAGAGGGTAAATCCTATCTTTGATTCTTTCATCTGTTATGCTACTTATTCTTCCTAGCCTTCGAACAGTTCGTACACTTGATAAACATCTCCTCTCGATTTTAGCTAAGTACTCCATCAGAAATCTTGGTCAGCATGGAGTCCTTTGGCCCATAATGCCTCAAGAACCTTCCTTCTAGAAAGTACCTGTCCAATTTCCTCCCTGTCTTGATTTGCTCAATTTTCATTTTTTCCCTCTTCTTCCAACTTAACTATCTGGGCCTCATAATCACATGGTTTTAGTAGATTAGAGGCAGGTAATGTTTATCGTCTGCCATTTTGTTTACTTTAGTCCTTGTGTCAGCTTCATTTTCATAGATGAGCAAAGTGTGACCCAGGAGTTCAGCTCACTCACCTCAAAAGCCTGAATGCCGGATGTCAGTCTGTGCTCCTGCTCCAGTCACTATGCGACAGCCGCAATTCTTGGAAGACTTTTTTCTCTTGTGTGTTTTAAATTCTGCACATTTTAATGAGGCGCCTTTTTTCTCGTCCAGTTAATATTTTTGTTTTTAGGGAATTAGTAGTGTTTACCTACTACCCTAAGTCTAGTGACTGGTCTTGCGATCCAAATTTCAGAACTACGGTAGCTTCTTAAAATAGTTTTAAAATAAGCTAGCCGCATCACTGAAATGTTATACGCAGTACATTGCAAATTATATGACTTCGTATACATCAATGCAGGTTGTTTATTCAACAAGTGCTTTTCCAGAGCTTCCTGTGTGCCAGGCGCTGTGAATGGGACAGAGTTCTTATCCTTAAGGATGTCTCAAGCGGGACCTTCATTGATAATCTTTGTTAGCAATTACTGTATTTCCTTAAAGGTAGTCAAAGGTATACTTTAAAATATTGTGTTGGCCTTCATGCTTTGGTGTATCATTAACTAGTTTGTCATTTGGGTTCTACTGCTTAACTTACAGACTAACTAAAAAATACATTGGTTTTTACTTGCTATTCCTTTGTATGCAGCTTTGAAAATGTTCTTTAAAAAGTAGTAAAAGAGTACGTCAAATATATAACATCACCTTGAATGTTTAGTGTTTTTACTAGATTGTCATTGATGAAAAAGTCCAGCTTTATTTTGTTAATCTTAGAGTCTATTTGTTTTGAAATTTGAAGTAAGGATACAGAATGGTGATAATAATGACTTCACTAGGGGGCTGTTAAAATGTGTTTGTGTTGGAAGAGTAAATTTGTCAATGAAAATATGATTATGAAGTATTGTATTTGGAAACACTGTTGACGACTCTTGAGATTTCCGATCTTCTCAAAATTCTGTTCCCTTTTTATTTGATGCCTTATTATCCTGGTTTTCCCCCTTCATCTCTAATCAGCCCTCCCTTTTTAAAAATAATATTTTTTTTCTTTCTGCCCCATAAATGTATGTGAGTTCTGTTCTTGGTTCGTTTCAGTTGCTCTTCTAATAGAGGATAGGATGACTAGGAGAGCCAGGGGGCCATATAGGAGACACGAGACTAAAGAGGGAGGCAAAAAGTGGGTTTTAGATCATAAAGTGCCTTATAAGCCATGCCAGGCAGTTTGAACTGAGAATAGAGTTCAAACTCAGTTTGAACTGAGAATTTTAAACAGAAAGTAACAGTCACATTTTACCATTTTTAATGTTCAACTTTAAGGACAAGAGTATATTTGTGAAAAATTCAAACATCATGGAAGTGTAGAAAGTATATTCCTTTCCTCATTCTCAGGTCTTTTTTTTTTTCCTGAGTGTATACAATCAGACATATATAGAATTATACAGAGATAATGTGTTTTCTTTTTCTTTTTAAAGAAAACTGGAATAAAAATCTGTATTTTTGAGAGACCATTATATCTGTCATCTGGAGGATAGGTTAGGGGAGGCAAGGGTAGAAACAGGTTAACAAATCAGGAAACTATTTTAGTAGACCAGGTAAAAGATGAAGGAGGCTTAATTTGGGTTAGGGTGATGGGAAGTAAATGGATTTGATGAGAAGTAAATGGATTTGGGATCTTGTAACAGGTAGAGTCAATAAGACTTGCTGATTGATAGGTTTGGGGGGAATGGCGGGGAAAAGAGTGGACTTAAGGATGTAACTAAGGTTTTTGCTTAAGCAACTGGTTACATTCCCTAAGATGGAAAAGACCGAAGGAGGAATCGATTTTATGGGAAGAATGGGGAGATGATGAATTATAGTTGCGCTCGTTGAGTTTGGGATCCTTGTGGTTTAACCAAGTGAAGATGTCCACTCTATGATTCAGAAAGGAAGGAGAGAAATATGTTTTAGAGAGAACATATTAATGAGTTGTCGGTACCCAAATGGAGAATAAAATAATATTAATAGAGGAGCATGCCTAAGAGGAGAATATATAGAAGAGTAGGCGACCAACAATGGAATCCTGAAGAACTCTTAACATTTAAGGGACAGAAAGAAGAACAGGAGCCATGAAGGAGGATCTGCCAGAGGTTGTAGATGTGATATCAGAGGCCGAGAGAAGAGAATTTTTTTTTGAGAAGAGAGTGGTCAACAGTGTCATACAATAGAAAGTAAGACAAGGACTCAAAAGTCCACTGGATTTGACATGAGGCCATTGGCCACTTAATGAGAACAATGTCTGTGATATGGGGAATAGAAACCAGATTTCTATTCCATGTGCTCCATATCTAAACCGTCACTGAATCCTGTCACTTCTTTTGTTATTGTCTTCCCTTTCTCAGTAGCACTTCTTTCCATTTTTTTTTTAGTACTAGACCGTTTACATAGTCTTCAAATTAATAGCAGTTTGAGCACCTACTCTCTCGTAGACTCTGTTGGAAATACAAGGACATGTAAGATATGATTCCTTTTCCAAGGAGGGGGAAGTAAAGGGGAGAAGGGAGGTAGTTTGAGTACCTACTATGTGCCAGGCACTGGATTTAGGATAACTCCTTCAATCCTCACAGGAAGCCTGTGAGGTCAGGAGTATGCCTCCGCGCTTTTTTAATAGAAGAATGAAACTTATACTTAGAGGTGAAGTGACTTGCCCAAGGTCACACAGACACACAGAACTAAGAACTGTTTGGCTCCAGAGTCCACTAAAAAAAAAAAATAATGCTCTGCTGCTTACGATACAGTTTATGAGAATCTAAAATTGCACAAAAGTTAGCTGTCCGTTTAAGCAACAGCTTCCAGCTGGTCATAGAAGAAATACCACACTGGGTGATTGATTGACTGTCACCTCAATTGTAAAGATGATAGCTGCTCCACTCGGAGAAATTTCCAGGATAAAAATTTGTGGTTTTCCACCTTGTAACTTTTAGTGCCTGGCAGAGAGTAGGTGCTTAGTAAATGTTTGAATGAATTGAAAGGGAATGATGACGGTAAGTGGGGGTGGCCAGGTAGGGCTCTTAGAGGAGTGGGGGTTTTAGTTGAGTCTTACAAGATGAATCAAACTCGGAAAGAAAGGTGGGGAGGACTTCCTAGGCAATTGGACAGAGTAGGCCAAGTATAGAGGGCATGGGAGGGAAGCGTGAGGCAGAGGTCGCAAACAGGCAGACTGCGCGCTGGAAAAGGCCCGCAGATGTGTTTTGTTTGGCCTGTCCAATGTTCTTAAGAATTGGAATTAGTTATCAACACGTAAATGTTTCCCTAAAAGTCTGGACTTCCCACCACGATTGAAAAATGGCCAGCTCTGTTAATCCTAAACTCATGTTCCTACATGGCAAACGAGCTACAGCTGAGTAACTGCCACTCACGCCATCGACCCCTTGGGTAAATGTTTACTCTTCGGAAATGATTAACTTTGCTCTTGGATGTTTACTTGCCTGGCCCCTATTAGCAAGTTTGCGACCCCTGATGTAAGGTCCATTGGGGGTTGGGGAGGTAGTGGGGTTGGGGAGGACTCCGAACAAACCAGATTGGACTGGAGCGAAAGGTATTATTAATGTGCCTCATTGGGGAATACGAAAGGGAGATTGGAAGCCACATTCTGAAGGACCTTGAACGCCCCCCTATAGACATAGAGGAGCCTGTTTAAGCTTTTTGAATGGGGAGTGACATGTTCAAAGTAGTGCTAAGAAGATGAACCTGGCAGTAGCCTCGAGGGTCAAAGAAGGGGGAAGGCTTCCGGTCGGAAGGTAACTGTGGAGCTATTGTGGTTCTGTAGGCTTGAGAAGGGAAGGGCCTTCCTCAGTGTTAGTGGCAGGTTACAAAGCAAGGAGTGGGAAATGAGGGAGATGACAAAGGATAGCCATGAATGAATGTGGACAGAGGAGTCAGCATGACCACCCCCAATGTGAAATTGGTCGGGTCAGTCACGAAAATAAAGGGAATCGATAGAAGGAGTGAATATGGTTACGTTGTATGTTTTGGGGGGTGGGGTTGGTTGTTGCTTTTAAAAAATTTCTTGCGGAGGGCTTTGGTAGGGGTAAATGCGCCAGGATAGCGCTATTAAATGGTATATGTCTCTGTCTTACATGTTAAGATTTTAACATTAGTATTTTAATTGGCAGTTGTCTCTGCTTCAAGCACTAAACTACTAAAAAGTAAAACGACTTACATGAGAGCCAGTTCAGGATAATCGGGGTGCCACCTTGCCACTAAACCACGCTACTAAGCTGAAAATCACCTTCTTGTGGCTTTGAGCATTTCACTCCACTCTGGTCCTTCTAAATCCCGGGCTTAGTGCTTTGCTTAGTTTGAGTTTCGCCTCGCATGCTGCAATTACTAGATTTGTCATATTTACCTTCCAGTTGATGTAGAACATTCCCATGTTCGATTTCTGGGAAACCTGGTGTTGAACCTGTGGGACTGTGGTGGGTAAGTACCATCTGATTACCTGTGAGGCCAGTGGCAGTAATCAGCATGGAGAATGCACTCGAGTAACTCTCATTCATGAGAGACCCATTGGCTGGCGTTGGCGGTATAGCGGTGAGCATAGCTGCCTTCCATAATAGATCCATTGGATACAGATTGATTTAGAGTGGGCATTTGATGACATCAAGATCTCCGACTGGAAAATAGGTTTTGTTTGATTTCAGAGAGGAAGGCAGAGGGAGAGATAGAAACATCAATGATGAGAGAGAGTCATCACTGAGCCACACAGGCCGGGCTGTGTATGAATTATCTCCAGGCAGTCTAAGCACTCTCCATAAGACCTGAGCACATGCCTTTCCTCCGTGGAAGGAGTAGGAGACAGTGTTTTCTCTCATGGCCAAGGCAGTTGTGGAATATCCCATCATAAATGAACATTCACTGCACTTGTATGCTGGTATTGCTCCCTACCCTGGGGCCATTTGATCTTTGGCTGATGGGTAGCGTACTGGTGAGGAGCTTAGGGCCTGGAGTTATATTAGCGTTTGTATCTCAGCCCTGTTAGCTGCTGTCTGGCATTGATCACGTAAACTCTCTGAACCACACTTTCTTCATCCATACAATAGAGAGAATGATTGTGCCAACTCATAGGGTTGTTTGGATGATTAAGTAAGATGATGATAAGAAATGCACAGCCACGTGCTTCGCGAAGTAAACAGACATAATTAGCTCAGCATTTCCCAGTTCCTGGCATAGAACCAGACATGGACTAGGTGCTCAATGAGTATCTGTTAACAACAACAACAAAATAGCCAAATATTCCATCAGAAAATGACTTCATTATTGCTAGCAGATGGATCACTTAACACCCTAGCAAATTTCTCCATCCAAATCCTTCCTCATCACCATTGCTTCCAATTCCGTAATCTGTGTCAAAATCAGTCCAAGTCTCTTACTTTTAGGCAATAAGATGTCATTTTTACACATAAGGCAGCTGAAGTCCAGTGAGATTTTGCATCTCCTAAGGTCACACGACCATTTATCTATTTATATTTATTTATTCATATTTATTCATTTATTTTAAATATATATATTTTGTTAATCCTCACCTGAGGATATTTTTCCACCAATTTTTAGAGAGAGTGGAAGGGAGCAGGGAGAGACGGAGAGAAATATAGGTGTGAGAGATACACACCAATTGGTTGCCTCCCACCCAGGCCCCGACCAGGTCCAGGGATTGAGCCTGCTACTGAGGTACATGCTCTTGACTGGAATAGAACCTGGGACCGTTCAGTAGTCCGATGCTCTTATCCATTGAGCCAAACCAGTTAGGGCTAAATATATTTTTCTCAAAGAGGAAGGGAGAAAGAGAGAGAAATGCATCGACAGGTTGCCTCCTACACACTGGGGATTGAGCCTGCAGTGAGGCATGTGCCCTGACTTGTGGTAATTGAACCTTGACTTCCTGATTAGATGGGTTGATGCTCAACCACTGAACCACACTGGCCGTGCTGCACAGTCATTTAATAGCAAAGTACAAGGCTGGAAACTAGGTTCATGAGGTGTTTTTTTTTTTTCCCCATAACAAAATTCTGTTTTTGCTAGGCATCTGGGAATTGAGAATTCCTTGGTAAACAGCACACAGCCTAAGGAACAGAGAGCAACATTCCGCTATAAAGTGTTCTTGGAGTCATTTTCATATCGTTCAGAGTATTGACTATTCTTCAGTAAATATTCACTGGGCACCTCGTCAATGGCAGGCTCTATGCTAAAAGCTGGGAAACCGCAGCGAACAGTAACAGACCATGTTCCCTACCTTAGAACGGTCTGTTTAGGGAAGAGAATGCCATTCATTCAGAACTCATGCAGATGAGTAAAACCATACTTGGAAATGTTAAAAAGAAGAACAGTGTATTGGTCAAAAGGTCTGTGGTGACTGGATTTGCCCGTCAGGGAGGTCAGGGATGTTTTTGTAAAGAAGTACGGGTTGAACTGAAATCTAAAGGGATGAGTAGGAATGAATAAGATGTTGAGGTAGGGCCAGGTGAGACAATGAACGTCAAGGCCCCTCGGGGAATAGACGGTAAGCCTGGAGAACCAAGGACAGGTCAAAGTATGTTTGCAACACAAGGAGAGGGCCTTAGGGTAGTGCAAGGCTTAAGAAATTGATGTCAGACCGGTTTGCTATTATTTGCCCTGTCATTTGAAGCTTTTCGATTATCTTTCATATAAGATGGATCACAAGTAGAAGGTCCTAAACTGAGGACTTGCTTGTTTTTTTTTCCTACTAGACAGGACACCTTCATGGAAAACTACTTCACTAGCCAACGGGACAACATCTTCCGAAATGTGGAGGTTCTGATTTATGTCTTTGATGTGGAGAGCCGCGAACTGGAGAAGGACATGCACTATTACCAGTCATGCCTGGAGGCCATTCTGCAGAACTCGCCAGATGCCAAAATATTTTGCTTGGTGCACAAGATGGATCTGGTACAGGAGGATCAGCGGGATCTGGTAAGAAACAGAAAGGCTGCTACAGGAAATGGCGGACATGCTTTGCACACTTCTTTTGTAGAAGTATAGGGACATTTGTGCCATTCTTTTTTTCAGGGCAGAAATCTCCACCTAAGCTTTCAAAATAAAGTTTTGTCATTTGTGTGTACATATTTATATACATGTGTGTGTGTATATATATATAATATATATGTATATATATTTTAATCCTCACTCAAGGACATTTTCCCATTGATTGTTTAGAGAGAGTGGAAGAGAGAGGGAAAAAAAACAGAGAGAAATATCGGTGTGAAAAAGACACATAGATTGCTTGCCTTTTGCACATGCCCTGACCAGGGCCAGGGAGGAGCCTGCAACCAAGGTACATGGCCTTGCCCAGAATCAAACCAGGGACCCTTCAGTCCACAGGCTGGTGCTCTAGCCACTGAGCCAAACTGGCTAGGGCATTTGTTGTTGTTTCTAGACACTCCAGAGATACATTGCTGTTGTTTGTGGGATTTGAAACTGAATTAAGAAAGATATGTTCTGTTTCGTTAAAGATTCGGTCAGACTTGGAAATTTTGAAGTAAAAATGGCTAGGGTGCTTTTCTAAGTATCGATTTTTTTACAGAGAGAAAAGGAGAGAGATAGAGAGATAGAAACATCGATGAGAGAGAAACATTGACCAGCTGCCTCCTGCACATCCCCTACTGGAGATGTGCCCACAACCAATGTACATGCCCTTGACCGGAATCGAACCTAGGACCCTTCACTGCAGACCTACGCTCTATCCACTGAGCCAAACTGGTTTCAGCGCTTCCCTAAGTATCAATTTCAAGTAAGATGGGTGTTTCTCTGTATTAGTGAGGGATCCTTAAAGAAACAGAACCAATAATAAGTATGTGTGTGTGTGTGTAGATAGGTATAATAAAGGGAAGGGGCAGAGAGGTTGATTGATGGATTTTAAGGAATTAACTCGAACAATTGTAGAGATTGGCAAGTCTGCAGTCTTCAGGGCAGGCCCGTAGGCTAAAGAGGGAGGACTAGATGTTGCAGCTGAGTCAGAAGGCAGCCTGGAGGAAGAATTCCCTCTTAAGGCCTTCAACTGATTGCATGAAGCCCACCCACATCGTGGAGGGGAATCTGCGTTAAGTCTACTGATTTAATTATTAATCTCATCTAAAATACACCTTCACGGCAACATTGAAAGTGATCTTTGACCAAATGTCTAGCCCAGTGGTTGGCAAACTCATCAGTCAACAGAGCCAAATATCAACAGTACAAAGATTGACATTTCTTTGGAGAGCCACATTTTTTTCAACTTCAACTTCTAACGCCACTTCTTCAAAATAGACTCGCCCAGGCCGGGGTATTTTGTGAAAGAACCACACTCAAGGGGCCAAAGAGCTGCATGTGGCTTGCGAGCCGCAGTTTGCCGACCACTGGCCTAGCCAAATGAATACATAAAATTCACCATCACAGGTAGGATCACTTTTAGACCTGACCTGAAAACATTTCTGCCAGAATGTCTCTGAAGTACTGTCCACATTAAAATAATCCCTCTGAGGAAAGAGGAAATGCTTTCCACTTAAAATATGCAGAAATCATCATATCTTAGCTTTTGCAAAGAAAGAGGAGAGCTATGTATCCTGATGAGTGTGCTGGGCTTTTTCATTCAGATTTTCAAAGAGCGAGAAGAAGATCTGAGGCGTTTGTCTCGCCCACTGGAATGTTCTTGCTTCCGGACATCTATTTGGGATGAAACTCTTTATAAGGTGTGTATGTTTCTCCGAGTTCCCTCAGTTTAGAGCATGAAAAAAAAGCAAGAAGGGTATTATTAAAAAGATATTTAAACTCTGACATAGCCATCTAAATGTTGAACTAAAAAAATATAATAAATTGTTTGAAACATCAGAATTAACCTTCAGAGATTTTGATTTTGATCTCAGATCGGGCCGACATGCCTACCAACTACACTGAATTAGCCAGTTTGGTCAGGATTGATCTGATACTGATATTCATGCCAGCTGAGCTTTCATTGGCTGTCGTCCATTTTGATCTGTTGTGGTCTCAATGCTGATTAGAGCTGTGTCTAGTATCCGGGTACTTCTACAGGCTATGTGCTAGTCTGCCTAAGTTTGGATGGCAGGAGAAGAACAATATTTAAGGGAGAGATTGGCAAAGGGAGTCTTAGAATGAGACATGTCTGCCTAGAATTTGGTAGCATTCATTTTCATGCCAAATGGAGACTGGCATTCTTTTTTTTTTTTTTTCATAAATATGTTTGTATTGATTTCAGAGGAAGGGAGGTGGGGGAGAGAGAGAAACAATGATGAGAGAGGATCATTTATCAGCTTCCTCCTGCACGCCCCACACTGGGGATTGAGCCTACAACCAGGGCATGTGCCCAGACCTCCTAGTTCATAGGTTGACGCTCAACCACTGAGCCGCTGGCTGGGCGAGACTAGCATTCTTTCAACCAGAAAGATTGTTCCTGCTGTTGGAATGGATACCACACCGCTTGCACTAGTCCTCGAGGTTACAACAATACCTGTGTTACGGTAAAGCTGAAATGACCTTATTGGCACATAGGTTCCTTATCCTGCTTCCTCCCTTTCTCCTACTGATCCAGCGATTGGAAAGACTGGCTCCCTGACGCCCTCCTGTGGTCAGACCTTTCCTTCAGACTGCTTCTGGTATCTGTTGACAAGTTTGACTCTGGGTAGGCAAAACAACCTTCTCGGTCCCTGGTAGCTACAGCCTCAGTATCAACTGCATACAACAAGGATCTACAACCAGAAGCACAGAAACCTGATTTCTCAAGGAGAAAAAAAAACAAAAACAAAAACAAACAAACACACACTGGACTTTAAATATAGCCATTGCTTTATTTATTTTTTCACTAATTCATTTCCCTCCCCAATATTATGTTGACCCAGCCTCGCTCTATTAACAGATCATTTTTGAGATACCTGTCTAGGAAATACTGTTCTAGATTCATTTGGGCCGAATTTCTCTCAAAGCCTTATTCCCATAGAACAGGTAACCGTGAATAAGGATGGACATGACGCACTGATAAGAACCAGCTGCGGTGTGAAGGATGGCAATACATAACACGACCAAAGACAATTGGCTAAGCACAACACTGCTGTGAGTGACAATGTCTCTGCTGTGGTTAGCTTTGGTGTCTTCTCCAAGGTAAATTCAGCAGTGACATTAACACCGACCTGGGAACCTGGAGCCTGAAACCCCATGCCTAAGTAATAAAAACTAATTGGAGCAGAGACATGGCACTACTCTCGCTTGCATAAATGTCGCATAGAGCTAACTTACATTTTTATATTCAGTTTTATTCTGCAAGCACTCATCACATACCTGCTTGATGCTGTAGGCCGCACACATGACTAAGACCAGGTTCCTGCCCTCTAGTGGGAGAGAAGAACATTACACACCTTGCCAGACAAATGAGAGCAAGATTGAAGGACATCTTCTAACGGAGGTTCAAATTCAAGAGCCATAAGAGAATAGAAGGAGGTGTGGTTAATTTCAACTCCTTTCCTTAGTCATACTCCTCTAGATGAAGTCAGTTTTAGGCAAACACGCAGTGGACCATTTTAAATTCAATAATTTATAGAGCTGAATATAAGCCTTTTAGAATGATATTGCCACTAATTTTTTTTAAAAAATTTCTCTTGTATGTTATCCCATTGAGGCGAGGGGCTGTTTGTCTTTGTGGCTCTGATATTTTTTTAAAAACTGATTTTTAGGGATATGTTAACTATAGCATCATTAGGTTCTGATTTTTTAGTACAGTCTGCACCGTTGGATTTAAATATTTGTTGAATGACAGCAGAAGCTTTATACCCCAATAAGAGATCAGAGTTTTCAACTTTTCCTCAGATAACATGATGGAATTAAGTTATTTATTATCAATAGGAAAAAGTTTGCGCAGCATTTTACGCAAGTGTTTGACAATTTTTTAAAAACTCCAACTGAAGGGTAAATGTCAAATATTAGCTTTGCTTTCTCATTTTATTTGTTTTATGTCATTGGTTATCAGTATTTGGGACTCAATTATCACCGTGTTTTGCTGTCCATGTGTCGTAGTGTGCTTACTCATTTGCAAAGGTCTGGGACTGGCTGCCTGTTAGTAATATTCCACCACGTTTCTGTCCTGTTAGGCTTGGTCCAGCATTGTTTATCAGCTGATTCCCAATGTTCAGCAGCTCGAAATGAACCTGAGGAATTTTGCCGAAATTATTGAGGCCGACGAAGTGCTTCTATTTGAGAGAGCTACTTTCCTGGTGAGAACTTTCTTCTCTGCAAATATTACTTCCCACTCACCTTCTTTTATTCAGCAGCAGAGAACACCATGTTGCTACTTTCTGGAAGAACCTTCTTCCCTCTTGTGTTAATGTTAACATGCCTTATTTATACAGTAGTATTGTCAGTAAGCGACCTGAAACAAATCCTTCGGTTTGTCACTCTTCAGTAGTTAGTAAAAACTTAGATTTTTGTAGGTATAATCTACAGCAGCAATCACTAACCTTCCTGACTTCATGGACCACCAATGGGCAGCTGCTGATACACAGAGTTTAGATTACATCTACAAATCACTGCTTATTTGTATTGAAGTATCCCTGTTTCCTATTGAATTTTATTATGAAACTAGTGGTCCAGTGCATGAAATTCGGGCAAGGGGCTTGGCTCTTGAAGCCCTGGCTTCATTGGGAAGGTCGTCCAGAAGGATGTCCAGTCTAATGAGCATATTACACTTTTATTATTATAGGTGAGGGTTATTTCCCTTTTGAGGAAGCTCACATCCCACCCTTTTCAACAAAAGACTGAGTTGAGAACTTTTAACATGGAAGAGATATAATGGTTAACTCACTGACATAGCTAAGAGTTCACATGGAGAGGCAGAACGGAAATGAGGCATGTTAGTATTTTAATTTTATAAATTCAACTTAAGTATATTAAAGCCTACTCTGTGTATGGGCTTGAGAGGCAATACAAAAACCAATATATTTATAAGTAAAAAAAAATTTTTTTTTGGAAATTATTTTTTTATTGATTTCAGAGAGGAAGGGAGAGAGAAACATTAATGATGAGAGAGAACCACTGATTGGCTGCCTCCTGCACGCCTCACACTGCGGATCAAGCCCATAACCTGGGCATGTGCCCTGACTGGGAATCGAACCATGACCTTCTGGGTCATAGGTCGACACTCAACCACTGACACACACCATCTGGGCATATAAGTAAAGTTTTTAAATAACAGAAGCAGAAAGGAGTTTGAGATGTAACAAAGCACTGCATAAGTAATTGCTGATCAGCTCAGTAAATGTAACTCTTAAGAACAACTTACAGTAAATAATTTGTTTCTGAGTTCTACTAATGCTTAATGATTTTAGACACATTTCTTAATCTGTGAGCTTGGTTCTCCTTCCCTAAAATGGAGATAATAATATCCATCTCATATGTTCTTTCGAGTGACTCAGTTTTGCTTCCTACTGAAAATTTTTACATCTGTCTATTCAGCCTATACAAAATGCTCGTCTAGGTTTTATTAAAATCTGAAAGTGTGAGGGAAAGTATTCTCAGCTATGTCCATCCTGAGTAGGTTCATTTATAAACAGTCAATTCTCAGAGGTTATAATCATTTCATTAAGATTTTTAAATATAATACCAAAAGCCACTTGGATATAGGCTTTATTAAAATTAAATACAGTAAGAGTACCTCAAGAACAGCTAGGAATTTTTATATATTTTTCTTTTTCGATTTGTATTTTTTAAATCAAAGACCATCCTGAGAAATAATGAAATAAGATGAACATTTCATGATTAAAGCAAGTGATAAAGAAGACCAACAAATCAAAATAGATAATACTTGAGTGATCTAATAAAATGATAACCAAACTATGGGATGAGTCATCCATAAGGATGTTGAAATTCTGCATAATGTTGGCAGCCTATGGGGCCGAGGGAAACAAATGGTAAGCCAGGTGCCAAGTCTGTCCTGAAAATCAAGTGACAGGAGGCTGACAGATGCTGGCCTAGAGCAGTTACAGTGGGTGATATGACTACATCGCATGGACTTACAGGGCATTGCTCTTTTTCATAGGTGATTTCTCACTATCAGTGCAAAGAGCAGCGTGATGCCCACAGATTTGAAAAAATCAGCAACATTATTAAGCAGTTTAAGCTAAGCTGCAGGTAAGAGGTCTTGTGGGATCTATTTATCACTGGGAAAAAATTAATGTTATTTTGAGAGGTTCAAATAGCTAGAGTGGACTACATTCTCTATCCAGAATAGTTCCTTCAATTGAAAAGAAAGCTAAAGTCTAAGGGAGCCTCCATTTGTCTGAGGGGAATGAAATTCATTGTCCTTTCATGTAAACTCAAGGGCTACAGAAGAAGCATATGAAAAAGATCTAAGCAGAGTACCCTTTTGAGATGTTTGATTCTGTTTGGGAAGAAATAAAAAATGTCCAAGAGAGTTTTTAAAAAGAAGAAAGTAGGATAATTTACCCCACCAAATGCCAAGGTTTTTTATGGAACTGCAGTAATTAAAATAGGGAGTACTGATTCAGGAATGGTACAAAATAGAGTCTGGGAATGTCTAATCATGTTGCCTCAGCTTGGATTAAATACAATTTGAGTCTTAGCGTTGTGAATATAGGCAGATGCAATGGCTGAACATCACAATTTCTTAAATATCTAAGAATCAAAATTCTTACTCTGGTAAAACGTGGATACCCAGATAGTAGAATAGGTATGAGTTTATTCCTTTTATGCCTTAGCATAAAAGATACTTCTTGACATATTTAATGCTAACGTTTTTAAAGAGAAATATAGAACGAAATGCAAATATTTCCTTGTTTGTTTTCAAAGAGATGGGATCATTTCTTGAATTTCCATGTAACTAAAATTCAAAAATTAATCCTAGTGATAGAGGAATTTCAAATTTAAAAGCTTCTTAAATAAAAATCTTTTATAACATGACTTTTAACAGGGATATAAATCTAAACCCACTTTGATTTCACAGTCAATGTCAAGGCCTAGGGGGGTGAGGGTATATGTGGGGAGGGGTTTGGGATGGGAATGGGAGGATGAGGACAATTATGTGATACCACAATCAATAAAAAAATATCAAGGCCTAACTCTCTAAGTCACTTTCCAAACTAGGATCAATTGAGCATTAAAGTTTCCTTGGAAAACAAAGTGGAGCTAGTGATGAACTGTCTTAATGAAGAGGTCAATTATGGTATAATACTATGAAAATGTATTCCTGAAACATAAAAATTCCTATAGTGCTATTATTTTATGTTCTCTGCTCTTTTCTCTTCTCTCCCATAGCAAGCTGGCTGCTTCTTTCCAGAGCATGGAAGTTAGGAACTCTAACTTTGCTGCTTTCATTGATATCTTTACATCCAACACTTATGTGATGGTTGTGATGTCTGATCCATCCATTCGTAAGTTTAAACTTAGTTCACATTGGTTCAAAGCCACATACATATTCTTTAACCTTATTGCCCTAGAGTAGTGGTCGGCAAACTGCGGCTCGCGAGCCACATGCAGCTCTTTGGCCCCTTGAGTTTTTAGCAAAGGCCTGCTTAGGAGTACCCTAATGAAGTTTACAACAATGTGCCTACCTATATAGTTTAAGTTTTAAAAATTTAGCTCTAAAAAGAAAAGTCAATTGTTGTACTGTTGATATTTGGCTCTGTTGACTAATGAGTTTGCCAACCGCTGCCCTAGAGGTAGGACTTAGATATTGAAAAACTATTTTGTAGTGAGTGAGAATGGTTTCGAAATAGTGTGAATGTACTTAAGGCCACTGACCTGTGTACATTTAGAAATAGATAAAATGGTAAATTTTTAAAAGATTTTATTGACTTTTTAGACAGAGGAGGGGACAGAAAAACATTCATGTGAAGGAAACATCGATCGGCTGCCTCCTTCACACGCCTTACTGGGAATCAAGCCCAGAACCTGGGCAGGTGCCTAACTGGGAATCAAATTGGCAACCTTTTGGTGCATGGGTTGATGTCCAACTAACTGAACCACATGTCCAGGGCTAAATTTCTTGTATATATGTTTTATCACACACAAAAAAACTATCTTAGTAGTAATAATCAATATTTTTTTCTATTTCATAAATGTATATTTTGAAGCTTAAAAATAATTTAGGCTCTATGGTATTATCTTTTGTTCTTGGGAACTTCAAGAAAGAAGAACCCAAATATATGATATATATTATAGTATAGATTTTTAAAAAAATATTTTTATTGATTTCAGAGGGGAAGGGAGAGGGAGAGAGTTAGAACCATTAGTGATGAGAGAATCATTGGTCAGCTGCCTCCTGCTCACTCCCTACCAGGAAACAAGCTGCAACTGAGGCCTGTGCCCTGACCAGGAATTAAACTGTGACATCCTAGTTCATAGGATGACACTCAACCACTGAGCCACACTGGCAGGGCTAGATTTTTAAAAGACTAGTCAGTCTTAGCTCTGAACTATTAAATATTGATCATTTTATATGTCACTGTATATTTCTAAGTAGCATATCCCCATATTTGTGTTATGGGCATACAGGGAGATATTTGGTGCTCCCATGCCATAATTGTCAGATTCATCTCAATCATTAAAATAAAGGTTGTAGCAGTATTTTCAGGATGTTCCCAGAAGTTTAAGTTATCTATGATTCACTGTTTTTTTTCTACCTTAGGTTAATATTAAAATGTAACATAAGCCTGGCTGGTGTGGCTCAGTGGTTGAGCGTCAAACTATGAACCAGGAAGTCAGGGTTTGATTCCTGGTCAGGGCTCATGCCCAGATTGCAGGCTTAATCTCCAGTGAGGGGCAGCCGATCGATAATTCTCTCTCATCATTGATGTTCTTATTTCTTTCTCCCTCTCCCTTCCTCTCTCTGATATCAATAAAACATATTTGAAATATATAATATAATATAGGTTAGTAGGTTTTATAGTATTATCCCCCAAATATAATTTTTAATAATTTATGTTGGAAAGTTTGTGTTTATAATATAAACACTTACACTTTTTCAGAAAAACTAAACTGTGCTTAACTTGGGGCCTCATATTCCTATATGTTATCTACATCCTACTACTTTGAGGGATTTGGATCTCGTTTGTTTTTTGTTTTTAATAGACATTCCTTTGACTGCCTGTACTTACTTTGTTGGGTATCTCTCCCACCCCCACCCCCAGCTTCTGCAGCGACTCTGATCAACATCCGCAATGCCAGGAAACACTTTGAAAAGCTGGAAAGAGTGGACGGACCAAAGCAGTGTCTTCTCATGCGCTAAGCATTGCCAAAATGCTGTTTCAGAAAAGAAATCAAAATACTGTTTCTTAATCTTACTGTTGTATTAGTATATGTAGACTCTGAAATGTTGTGATGCTTACCACTTCTGTATTTCTTCCCCACTCCTCAGTCTTAATGTTTACCCTTGAATGCTATTTACACAAATAGCCAGTGAGAAACTAGAAGATGAGCTGTCCATGAAGCTGATCTGACATAAAAGTAGGTAATATGTGAGTGTTCTGATGATAAGGTTTTAATAGCGTGTTCTGATAATTTTGTTCCAATAGTTGTGTGTGCCAAAGCCTCTTCTAACATTGTCTTGTATTCCCTATAAGATAGTAACCTAGAAGTTTGGAGTGTTACTGTTCCTCAGCATGCATTAAAATGATCCTTAACTCTGATGACAAATAAACCTGCTGTTAGAGATTCAGTGTCTGTTTTTATTTCAGTTTTTTCCTAAGGAAGAACAAGTTAATTTCACAGTTAGTCTAGAAGGGAACCTATTTCTTACTGTGAAATAGTACAAAATAATATTGGGTGCAAAGGATGGAGCCTGATGATCGCCTTAAATCTAGGCAGAAGAGTTTAAAGGTAATGTGTTAGGAAGTAGGAAACCATTGTAGGTTTTTGAGGAGGGGAATTAAATGAAAGGAATTTTGAAAGAAAATTAACCTAGACTCTATGGGCTGACGGATGGCGGGTGGGGAAGCTCTGGTAGTAATCTAGGCTTGAAGTGTGTTGAAAGCCTGTTCTAGGATGTAACTGGAGAAGGAACGAATAAAAAGTTGAGGAGAAATAATAGGATTTGTAAAATTCGACTTCTTTCTTTGAGGTCCAGAAATGGTGAATTTTATATATTCTATTACACCTAAATAAAGGCCATTGCACGAAAAATCATGTAAGAATAGGCCTGCCTTCCCCTGGCTTTGCTCCCAGCTGCCCAGGAGCCTTTGCAAGTCTTTGCTCCGGGCTGGAGCATTGTTCTATAGCTCCCTCTGCCCCCCACCCAGCAGGCATCCCGACCCACCCAGCCGCTCTGTGCCTGTGTATGCAAATTAACCTACCATCTTTGTTGGGTTCATTTGCATACTCCTGATTGGCTGGTGGGTGTAACGGATGTATGGTCAATTTGCATATTTCACTCTTATTAGTGTAGATGGGATATGCCTTCATTATGCTAGTCAAGTAGCATTATTCTATTTGACTTCATCTCCTAAAGAAAACATGAAGCATTGTGAACTGGGAGAAATAGAACTTAACAACACACACTAGAATTACTCAAAGCCCCACCCTTTTCAGCTTCCATAGATACGCCAACAAAACACGAATGCATTTAGGGAGTGTGCAGCACAGTAGACTCATCTCATTTCTCGTCTCTGTGTTCTGAAGATACTTCTTTCAGACCACCAGAACGTCACCATTTCCCGTCTTATTATCCCCAGTTGAAAGAGTTTTTCACTGAACAGCAAAGTGCATGTGCTTTTGGTAGCCTACATTATTTAGATTAATAATCTCAAGTCTTAAGGGAACTGTGTGGGACTAATTTGATCAACAATTGTATTAATCTTCTGGAGAAGGAGAGTTTTTTAAGTAGATGTTCCAGATTTTTTTATCCTCTTAACACTTAGGAAAATGAGAAGAGCAAATGAACCCGGGATCTGTTCTATGACTAAAGAAGTCGTGATTTGGCATGACTCATCCTCAATACCTGGGGTGGTATTTGAAGGAGCTACTAAAAGCATTTTTTTAGAAGTTGGATAGATATAGACATTAAATTAGATGAGCACACAAAAAACGCAAAATTATATCATTATTTGCTCTTGACTCAACTTGTTCAGATTCTAGTTATAACTTGGATATATAAAAGGATGAAAGGTTAGCAAAATAACATGAGTCAACATAATCCTTATGGTAATGACTAGTCGTCATTGAAGACAAAAATATATTTTAAGGTGGAGCACTGAAGTAAACAAGTATACAGTGAAGGCATGCACACAGAAATGGAGAGAAGATATCAAACCAGACATCGGGCTGTTCATTAAATTCCACAGATTAGTGAGATCATATGGTATTTGTCTTTGGTTTATTTTGCTTAGCATAATATCCTTCAGGTCCATCCATGCTATCACAAAGGGTAAAATTTTCTTCCTTTTTCAGGCAGAGGAGTAATCCATGGTGTAAATGTACCACAGTTTTTTTTATCCACTCATCTACTGATGGGCACTTGAATTGCTTCCAAATCTTGGCTATTGTAAAGAACACTGCAGTGAACATAGTGGTACATATATTCTTTCAAATTAGCAATTCATGTTTCTTCAGATAAATTTTCCAGAAGTGGAATTGCTGGGAGACAGAGTCATAGATAGAAAGCAAGCAGACAGCTCTGGTATGTGTGTGTAGGGGGATGTTGGGGAGGGTGGAAGGATTGAGCAAAAAAGATATAGACAGCAGTGTGGTGATTGCTGGGGGAGGGGGGGCATAGAAAAGGGACTGTCCAACTGGTCAGTAGGTATGACACACATAGACCACCAGGGGGCAGACACTCAATGCAGGAGCTGCTGAGCTGCAGTGACAGCAGCAGTGGTTCTCAGATGACACACCCTGGAACCAGAGAGGAGGGAGTCTGATTCCTCATACTCCAGGACCCTTTGGGGAATGTCAGAGAGCTGGTTTCGGCCGGATCCCTGCAGGCCAGGTCAAGGGAGCCCACCTGTCCGAGGGACCCTGCTCACTCCACAGACGTCCTTCAAGCCACAGTGCCACCCCAGGTGCAGTTGACTGGGGGGGGGGGGGGGGAACTGCAAGAGGTTGGCTCCAGGGTGTGTCTGGCCCATCTCACCCAATCCCACCTCACTGGCTACCTTCTAATTAATTTCCTTTCAATGTGCACAAATTCATGTACCAGGTCACTAGTATGGAAATAAAATAATTTTTAAAAATATATATTTTATTGATTTTTTTTTACAGAGAGGAAGGGAGAGGGATAGAGAGCTAGAAACGTCGATGAGAGAGAATCATCGACCTGCTGCCTCCTGCATACCCCCCACCGGGGATATGCCTGCAACCAATGTACATGCCCTTGACCGGAATCGAACCTGGGATCTTTCAGTCTGCAGGCTAACGTTCTATCCACTGAGCCAAACCGGTTTTGGCATAAAATAAAAATTTAAAAACCAAGTTCCCAGGTAATGTTGGATGCTGATCCTGCTGGTCCGGGGACTATACTTGGAGAACTACTACCTTAGGGAAAAGAGGAGAAAATGTAGGTGTGGAAGCAGGAGTGGGAAAACAGGTTCACTAGGTTTGCAAGGTGACTTGAAGGCATTATAGCAAGTAAGATATATATATAGTTTAGGCCACTGATTCTCAAAGTAATATAAAATTTTTTGAAGCACTATTTTAGAAGTAATGACTAGGAAGTTTCTATTTCATAACTGGTATGTTGCAAATGGAAACAAATGCTAGCATAAAGAGTATAGATAGCAATTTGTATAAGGACCTAATAATATTCCAGTTTCGACCACCTCTATTTGCTAACCCAATAGAATATCATGAAAACTTAGGTGGGATTGCCAAATGAAAATAGTACTGCCTTTACTTGAAATGTTGAGTATTTACTAAATGTAAGGCTGTAAAAGGATTATCTCATTTAATTTTCACAAGAACCCCACAAGGTAGGTGCTGTCTGTCACTATCCTGTTGTGTGTGTGTGTGTGTGTGTGTGTGTGTGTGTGTGTGTGTTTTAAATATATTTTATTGATTTTTTACAGAGAGGAAGAGAGAGGGATAGAGAGCTAGAAACATTGATGAGAGAGAAACATCGACCAGCTGTCTCCTGCACACCCCCCACCGGGGATGTGCCCACAACCAATGTACATGCCCTTGACCAGAATCAAACCTGGGACCTTACAGTCCGCAGAATGACGCTCTATCCACTGAGCCAAACCGGTTTCGGCTATCCTGTTTTTTTAAATAAGCAAAGTGGGCCCAGAGAGGGCCAGAAACTTGCCCACAGTTATGCAGTAGTGGTGAAGCTGGAATTTGAACTCAGGTAGTAACCTGCAGAGCTTGTGCACTTAGCCTTAACCTTGAAGGTATTTGGCCTTCTTGAATTTAAGAAGCTACTCATGGTGGAGAGTTTGAGGTGTCAGATGTGATACCTAGCTTTGAGACTACCACTCTGTTCGCTGCTATGGAAATATCTCATGTCTGTTTTCACTGGGGCTTTGCCACATGGAACAAGAAGCTTTACCACAGTAGGCAGTGAGAAGCAGAGTCAATAGGAGAAAAATACCTCCTGCTTGTAGGATTTACATTAAATCAAAGCAATTTTCAGTAGTTAGGATTTTTTTCTCTCCAGAACTGGGCTACTGTGAGCAGTTATAGCCTCTGCTTCTCTTGGGCCCTTTAAAATAAGAGGGGAAAACGTTGTAACAGTTCTCAGGCTTCTACAGCAATGTTTTAGCAGGAAGGCAATCAGGGTCTTCTGCAATCTTCATAAACAAGCCCCATTGTGTAAATTTCCTTACTGTGTGGAACATGATTAGCATCTACGCCCCGCCCCCCCAGCTCCGCTGAGGCTTGATTGACAAAATTTTATAAGTTTAGGTTGTACAATGTGTTTGTTTTTAAGGCGCACGATTAGATAATTTAATATATCTATATATAGAAAAGCCCAAGTAACCATTACTGGAACAACTGGTTGACCAGTTACTAAGATGCACACTATTAGGGGGAAGACTTTCAGCACAGGAGCTGCCCTCTGGTGGTCAGTGTTCTTCCACAGCCAACCTTATGTGGCCAGCCAACCTCCTGCAGCCCTCCTGTGGCCCCGATTGGGACTGGGCAAGATGCCCCAATTAGCCCTGATCACCGGCCAGGCCGAGTGACGCCCCCACCTGTGCACAAATTTGTGCATCAGGCCTCTAGTGAAACAACTACCACAACTAGGTTAATTAACATATCTCTTAGCATTTTTTTTTCTGGTGAGAACATTTAAAA